CCTCCATAGGCTGTAGCAGGAGTGACGTATTAAAAGTTACCGGCGTTTTCAGTGCAGATGTTAAATAAAGCTGAAGATTGTACTTTTATTTATTTATTTAAATTTACCAGATTATCTCTTAGACCTTGTAACGTCTCTGAAGTTTGGATTCTGTGTAAAATTGTTAATCGGTTTTGATTGTCATTAACCTAATTTAATTGTATTCATAATCTAGTATTTCAGTACATTTGAATTATGGTTGGTCTTCAAACGGGTGCGCTTTTATTTAAAAACTTATATGACTTTTCAAAATTATCTATATGTGGGTGCTACGGGAATATCATGATGCTCCCACGGCCGCCGTACACTAAGGCGTGAGAAAGTCAGTGTCAAGGTTAGCCCAGAGGTACTACTGGCCGGGTATGTTCCGCGACGCCGCCATGTATGTGAAACACTGCGAAGTCTGCCAGAAATTCAAGGGCTTTTTTGTTTAAATAATATAATAATATATAATATAAATATACCTATCGCCACCTCCCCGCTACTACCACAAAGCTATAAATCAAGTTAATAATCCAACTTGTATTGCTTACCAGTTTAAGCCACAAATTATATGCAATTGACTTTTTGAGAATACACAAATAGTCTATGGCACAATAAGATGTACTGTCGAATATTTTATTAAGATCGGTTAAGAAACACACTAGTTATGTGCGCACGTGTTAGCAGCAGCTAGCGCAAATTCTAAAAATTTCTGTATACATGTACACACACACATTCATGCACGTCTGCTTTGAATTCTATCAAGAGCATTGCAATTGCGATAGTATTGCTTTCTGGGCTGCTATTTAAATTGGTTTTTTTCTCACTGAAACTTAATTGTTGGTGTGGCTGTTGTGCAGTTTATAGCGGGTTCGAACCCTACCGAGGAAACTGTTTTTTTGTTTGGCTGGTGTGACTGTTGATAAGAGGCAGCGGCAAGTAGTGCGGTTAGTTTCGAGTTCGAACCGTGCAAAGGAACCGTTTTTTTTTAATTTATCTTTATTATTTAAGCAAACGAGCGCGTAGCTCGAGCTGCATTTGGGGTTGGAATAAAAGGGTTCCGGGTGGGGAGCTCCCGACTAGAACCTCTTACTTATTATACTTATTTTTAACTTCCTCGCATATTTTTAATCGGGCAGTTTGGCTATATTAGCAAACAATTTGTTTATCAATGGTGTTAATAAGTCAATTTCAGGGATAGATTTTTTTCAGTGGTGGCAAGAGTGGCTTACAATTCTATACTTATATTAAATTTACACTGCAATGCACATTTTAGTAGATGAGGTATGTGTGGATCAGGGGTTTTTTAATGAGTTTCTTATCTAGCGTACCCGGCGTAAATGCTTAGAGGTCCGACTCCTGTATCCTTCAATGGTTACAGGCCGAGGGCCATCGCTTGGCCTCGCCTCCATCGCTCCTTTTTTATACCCCGAACTCATTCAAAATGGGTAAAAAGGGTATAATGTATTTGTGCATTCCCAGCCCGTCTGTTCGTCCGCCCGAAGTATGTATAAGCGCAACGATCTCAGAATCTGTAAGAGATAGAGACTTAAATTTTGAGTGTGGGTCCTTCTAGTGCAGGCAGTAAGAGTTAGTTTCTGACCATCGATAACTTTCCTGGTTTGCAAGCAATAAGTAAATATAGATATCTAAATCCTGTTTTTTAAACAAATCTCTTTGGTTTTATGAGCTAGTCACTAAATTTGGAATGTAGTTTCTATAATAGTATATTCAGATCGAGTATCTTTCATTTTATAGCTATCGATCCATGAATAATGCATGGGGCGGTTAAATCTATCTGCAGGCACTTATTTTACCTTAACTTTACTTATTTAAGAATGAGGAAAATTAAATATCCTTGTTGATATTTACCTTACGGTATTGCAGACATATGAGAATAGTGATCCTCCTAAATGCTGAGCTTGATGACAGACAAATTCTTCCTATATTGCTATATAAGTAGTGCGATATTGATAAGATTTGGCTTATATTTACGGGTTTGATTAAGATATCTTATCAAACATAAATGTTTTATACACAAGAACTTAATTTTCGACCGATCGTTCCTATGAGATCTATTTAATATAGTATTCCGATGTTGATAAGGCTTTGCATGTATATGAGAAGTAGGTAAGAGTTAGGCTAAGAAATCTAGATAAACAATAAATTTTTCCATACAAGAACCAACTCTTCGGCCTATGGCAGCTATATGATATAGTGGTCCGATCCGACTGCCTTCAACAGCAAACCGAACCTATGCAAGGTTTTAAGACGATATCTTGAAGACTGAAATACTAGTTCGCACAAAAATAGACAGACGGATAGATGGAGGCACGGATAAACAGACAGACATGGCTATATCAATTCAGCAGTTGTTGGTGATATAGAATATATACCTTTTATGGGTTCGGAGAGGTCTTCTTCTATGTGCTACACATTTCATGAGAAAATTACAAGGATATATAAAATATAAATAATTAGAAAAGAATGTAGGGTAAAATTATGAATTTAACAAAACAAAAGTTCTTGGTAGGCTCATCAGATGTCATATCTTTTGAATACTTCTCGGACAATATTATGCCAATTGTCCACATGCTTTGACCTAGCATGGTAGGCAGGTTTTTACTCAAGATCTGTGCAATTAAGTTGTTAATACTGCTGTCCCATTCCAACAACCGATCTCAATTATCAGTTTCCTTAGGCATAAATTCGGCTCAGTACAGATACGCAGTTTCTTTTTCCGGATCCGCCTGCTAAGAACAATACAAATCCTCTGACTTACTATTACTGACATCGTTATGTCAATTTCAGCGTAATCTTTCAGCGCCTCCCGACAAAAAATAGTCAGCTGTTCGACATAGATAACGAATCGTCTAACAGTTTAGTGTTTACATACATATGTACATGTTAACAACAATATTTTGTAAATATTAAGAAAATGTTATTATTTCGTTGACAGCGACCGCTTGGGCCATATTATCGTCGGACTGGTCTATTAATATACTTGGCGACTTTATTTTTCGACCATGGCGTTTAATAATGCTGTTCAGTCTATTACCCGGTGTTATTGGAGGACTTCTACTTATATATTATCCCGAAAGTCCAAAGTTTCTGCTGTCTCAAAATAAAGAACACCAGGCACTAATCGCAGTAGATTGGATCAGTAAATTTAATCGAGGACTACCAATTACTCGCGTTCTTAATTGTAATGAAGTTACACTAAAACCGGAGATAGAGTATGAAGAAAACGTATTGTCGAATCACAAAGGTTGGAATATTTTGACAAACATCGCTCGTGCTACCCGTCCTTTGTTTCAAAAGCCACATGGATTCAACTTTGTGTTATGCAACTTAGCTATCCTTTGTTTGTTTTTCAGGTAAGATAATAAGTGAGAAATAACTATACTTTTATTAGATTCGACGTTGAAAGTATTTAACACGCTAAAACAAATCAATTGAAAGAAGAAAACTTATAATAAAAAAAGAAACATTCACTGAAAATGGAAAGGCAGCGATGACCGCACTCTTATGTATAAATAAAAGAGAGTTTAAATGTATTCAATGTCAAAGGCAATACGTTTTGGTGTCACATTTTGTGCTAAAATTTTTATATTTTTAATTTTTTAATTTTAATATATTACCTGTCCACAAAGAACACGCCCGTAGAAAATTCAAATCTACCCATCTTGATCTCCACTTCTTTTTAAAAATGTTTTAGCTGAAGAAGAAACTTTCGTTACCTTTGACACGAATTTTCCTCCCAAGAACGTTTCAAATAAATTCTCACAAATATCTTTGAAAATGATTTTGAAGCCGATAGGATGGTAAGCAAAAAACTTTTATACCCCCATTTTTCGTTAACTTACCACTGTTGTGGGTGGAATTTCGCAAATCGCTGAAACACGTATTCGTTAAGTTCTTATGTATTCATTAAGTTCTTCTTGAAGCAAATCGGACAAAACTTAAATCCTCACCAAAAAAATCGTAGAATCGCACTTTTTACCAAGGTTGCTTTGATTTTGCGAAAAATTTGAAACATGTCTCAAATGATTTTTCATATATGTAGATCTCTGGAAATGAATTTGAGCGCGAAATGTCCCCACCACTGTTGTGGGTTAAATTTTCCATATCACTGAAACACGTATTCATTAATTTCTTATATAGAGCTTTGAAAATAAGTTTGAAGCAAATCGGACATAACTTAAAACCTCACCAACAAAATCTGAGAATGCCACTGGATATTGCAAAAAATGTGAAACACGTTTCAAACGAATTGTCATATAGATCCTTGGTTATGAATATGAGCGCGAAACGTCACCCACCAAAATTTTAACCTCCATTTCCACCAAAGAGAAATGACTTTTTCGAAAAGTGTGAAACACCCCTCAAATGAATTTATTTATTTATAATATAAAGAAAATCTTGTGAAGGGGTCTTTAAACTCGCTAGAATTGCGCCTAACAAACCCAGACATCGCAAACGCCTTAGGCATAATAAAGTTTATATGCTCAATGAATAAGAGCTTAGAGTCAAAAACTACTCATGAGTCCAAAGCTTCTGATTTACGAGTAAATCGAGTTAATGGAATAGGATGAAAGAATGGCATAAAAACATTTGCTAAATGTGATGTGATAGCATTTAGCTAAGTTCAGTGGTAACTAGTTATGTCTACACCATCCAGACAAGTTGTGTAAGTCCTACTGCAAAACCAGTACATCATGCTGAGACGAAATGCATTTGAATATTTTATGGTCATCGGCAAATAATAGATAATCGGACGAACGTAAGCAACTCCCTACATCAATAATAGACAAGTTAAATAGAAGCGGACCAAGACAACTCCCCTGAGGGTCCCCCAAAGATGTGACATAAGATGCGGAGAAAGTATTGTTGATGCGTACGCTATAATAACGATCAGACAGATAGGATTTTAACCAGCTTAATAAAAATCGCTAAATTGGTCACTTTAGATCTGCCCGGCGAGAAGCCATGCTGTCTAGGCAAAGGAGATATGTTTACCGACCATACCCTCAAATAATTTAGAAATATTACTTAGTTTTGCAATGCCCCTATAATTTCGAATATCGCATTTCTTACCATCTTTAAAAATTGGCGTGTTTATAGCAATTTTTACACATTTTTAAAAATACTCCTGCAGAGAGGGATTTGGCGAAAAGTAATTGTAAAGGCTCATAGATAATATACACGAATTTAGAAAAAGTGCTGATATACCATCACAGTCCGATTGAGAAGAGTTATTAAGGCTTCTAGCGGCTGCATAGAAATCTTCCTTTAAAAATATAATATTTCCTAAATTTAAAATGTTAGATTTAAAATGGAATGGAGAGAAGGAAAGAGCCCTAGTCGCATTTAAAACATTTTTGAAAGTTCGAGCTAAAATATCTGGCAAAGAGATCTGCTATACCTAAATCCGAATTAGCGTACAGCGTCCCAAGTGTATTACGGTATTACGGATGTTCTTTTCGAATTGACAAACGAACAGAAAAATTAGATCTTATATTTTATGCAATTGTTTGAAAATTTTATTAATTTGGGATAAGCCCATACTATATAATTCATGAATGACAACAATTTCGAGTGGATGATGAACGTTGGATGGCAGATAGGATGTGGAATTAGGAATTGACGATCATGCCAGTTTGCCAAGGTTGAAATCTTCCATAACACATAGCGACCATCGGTGGCCAGACTTTGGTGAATGCTGTGAATGTTGTCCACGTGCGCTTTACAAATAGTGTCAGTGCCGCCGACCACCGCCGAGCACGGCCAACTGGTCCAGTGTAGAGTCATCGTAATTTAGCTGTAGCATTTCAATTCGCAATGTGTGTCGCACAGCTTTTATAACACCACCGCCTCGCGAGTCTCTCTCTTTACAAAAGACACGAAAGGTTCTGGTATCAAAAAGTTCAGCGTCATAGAAGTACGAGTTGAGCCATGTCTCAACTAGTACTATGACATCAAAATCACATTGGAATGTTGCCATGTGAAGCACTTGAGATTTTATTCGCATTCCAGATATGTGCTGATAATAAATTTTAATTAAGGCAGGCGGAATTGAATGGTGTGATGGTATTAAGGAATTATTTCCCAAGACGTGAAGTGTATCAGAAGAGCGACTAGCTAGTTGACGCACTGGCGCCGATAAAGAATGGCAAATCGTAGCCAAGCATAGCGCTCCAGAACTCCAAATAATCCAAGCGAGAAGAGTGGCCAACGCAAGTGAAGGGATGGCCCTATACGATTATCGTAAATCCTCTTGCCGATTGTCAAAACGCAGTCCGGCGAAGAGAGCGCACCTCGAAGATAAGGGCAGCGCTCTGATAAAGAGAGTATGCGAAGAGTAGCTGCAGCACGCAACATGTTAGCAATTCATTCGGCACAGCAAATATCGAAGAGAGCCAAGTGCAGCGAAATTAGACGAAAAAGTTGTTGTACTGGCGAAGCAGGGTAAAGCATGCATGGTATTTCTCACAAAAAAGCAGTTCGAGATTATCCGCTACAACAACAGCAATATTAACAACTTGCTCGATCGGCGAAGTTGTGCGTGGGCGAATGGCTGCTTCCAGATTTATTGCAGTGTCATCGTTCGCAGATTTAGGCCTGTGACACTTTTACTGATAAATGCCAAAACGAAGAGTTATAGATTTTTGCAAATGACGGTTCAGGAACCCCCAGCTTAAAGTTGACAAATCGCATTGATGATAAATCCGCATTTAGTTTAACCAGCTTGAAGGACGTTGAGCGCGTCAATATTAACATTAAGATTGTTAGCAACATATCTCAACACCGGCTCTGGTTGCGTTTTGGTTGAGAATTTACCAACATGTAAATATTTTCAGCTGTGCTTTACTTCAAACTGTGAGCAATCAGGCGCTTCGCCAACCACAAGTTTATTGTTATTGTTTGCCCGTTTCCTCTTTTGCTTGTTCCGAATTGTTACAAAACCTTCGCTCTCAAACTCTACATGCGTTTCGGCTACATAGACGGGTAAGTGACCTAGATCAATGCCCCCTGTAGCTGTTGAAACAGATTGTTGATCGCTTTCTATGACGCGCTGTTGAGTCTTTGTATTTATTATGTTCTTAGAAGCAAGATTAGGATTAGATTTCACAATGCAATTCCGTTCTATTGTTGCTTTCAGACCGTCATAAAGTTTCTCAAGGTTTAACACATTAGCACTAAGTTCATCAAATTTCGTGTGAGAATCATTAGACACGACTCAGAAGTCCCACTGCCATAGTAGATTTGGCAAGTTTGTTAAAAGCTTTAAGGCCTCCGTTGATAACTCAATGCACGAGTTACCTCCTTGGTCGTGACCGATGGTAACGTGTTGTCCTGAAGTAGTTAGGTTTCCTCTTCCAGATGTCCTTATGTCTGTATTCAATACCGACTTTGGGTTGAAATAAACCATGCACGTCTGTGCAGTTTGAAATTTCTGCATCCTGTTAAAACGCTGACATTCTGTACAATGTAGCACAATGTACTCTGCTCTATGTGGTCATCGTCTTGTTGGTATGTAGATACATACGTACATACATACATATGTGTCTATGTACTTATTTGGCTGTTTTGTATACGGTGTAGCTGCAATGTACTTATTTACTACTTCTTGGTGGTTTCGTGAGTGGTGTGACTGATAAGGTAACTCCTCCCCCCCAGGATTGAATAGAGGGCCATAGCGGAAGTATGGCCTGAAAGAAATGCGTTTGTGTTTTTTAAGTATAGTAGGAGTAATATTATTCCAGTTACTATTATAAGACATGCGTAAATTGTAATAAGGTGATTTGTTGTGATCTTTTTAATGGTAAGTATACGGTTATGGGTCTTCATGGTTTCCAAATGTAGTCTTTTTAAGTTTAGTTCTTCTATGGCGTTGTTTACCTTTACTTCCTTGTAAAGTGGTATCGTCGTTTTGATATTGTCTTCTAGTTTAGTTTCCATGTTTTCAAATATTTGGTCTTTTATAACAATGCTGTAATACTTGTATCAATTAGTACAAGGATGAACCCTTTTTCTGGTTCTAAAATTTGCTTTTGCTCGCCAACCTCCATTACGTCACATGTTGCTTTTTTCTCGTTTAATAATCCTTTTATGGTAACGCCTATCTGGACATATGCGATCCAAGTTTGGGGCACGGCATCAGCACACCAGCTCCGTCGCATAAGAGTGGTCCAAGCCAAGGCAGCACGCAAGGTTGCTGGCCTGTCATGGTACGTAACAACAGACGCCATCGGACGCGATCTCCGCCTAACAAAGGTCGGAGATCAGCTCAACTTCTTCAGCAGCCGATACTCCGACAAATTGGTGCAGCATCCGAACGCGGTCGCAAGGGCCCTGGCTGAGCCCATCAGTGAGA